AGTTAGTGAGTTGGGAACAGCCGAATTTATTACCTTTCTCATATAATTCTACCTTCTCATTGGGCCACATATTCAAGGTCTATACAACTCTGTAGGGCATGTCTTGCAAGTTGCAAGGAAATAAGTTTTTGAATGCCGTAAGCTCTTTGAAGCTCTTATTTGGTAGCATCTTAGGTATCCTTATTGTGAATTAATCAAATCACAATATCATATCCCATTTCAATATCGGGACAATTTTGGATCGAGTAAATTTACTCATTATGCTTAGCAACACACATGAAATCGCCCTCAGTAGCTCAAAAATTCCATTTGTAAATGTATAACCAGGTTTTTCATATATTGTTTGAGATGTTCAGTCAGGAATTTTAAAGATTTTCATGCGTGCACACCTTTGGGACTTTTTGTCACCCGCATCCATTCGGTCGATCCAGATAGTCTACTTCAGTGTTCATGTCCGTTGTAACGCATTCACATAACGATGCAATCTCGTTCTGGTCATCATATCCCGGTTTTGTGTCAATAATTCGGCATGTAAAACAGTACAATAGAAACACAATAACTGATTCAAATGCCTTGCTTAATGATGAAGTATGTATGTATTGTGCATTTGTTGTATTCAATCCCTATTACATGTTTCTCTGGCAGAAGCCGTTTTGGAAGCACGAAAACGCGTATTGATCATTCCCCATAAGAAGACTGCTACGGCGACAACTACCTAGTTCGCAGGAATGCCAACCTATGAATGGGTTAAATAATAATAAAAACTTCTCAGAATTAAAATGTGTTCTTTCCAGTAAATCATGAGTGAGGATGATTTGAATTAACATGAAGATGAATAAAAAAAAACATGACAGAAAATCATGAAATGAGAGAGGCACCTTCGTCTTTTCGTATTAACAAATGTAATGAATAATTGTTGAGTGTAAAAACAAGATGGAAGAATAGTGGGGTGCGGAATCATAGCAATCCTAGCACAGGTGAAATATGTTCATTGATTGCATTGCATACGGTGCGCTGGTTAACAGTTAGCACACAGGTCTAGTCAGCACAAGGACAAGATATCATACATGGGGGTGCGACTAAATAATTTATTTGAAGATATAATGACTTGCAATTGTAGCAGAATTACACGACAGTGTATCTGCAATAAAAAGGGTTGACAAAACCAGATATAGCTTCTGTAAAAAACATGAATAATAACCATAATGATACAAATGCTCTGTATTTGCAAAAGTCAATATAGTCCATTCTGGCCTCAAATTAAGAAATGGGTGAAAAAATAATACATATTATGCAAATGGAACAAGTCATTTAGCCTACGGTGAAACCATAGTCCATACACCAAAGGTCCTTCCTGTGAGCGATGCTGCGAGGTGAGCGAGCTGTGAGCTCCCTCTAGTCGCGCGTCACCCAAGCTGTGGCTGCCAACTGGAACCATAAATGTAACTGGGCCGAGGTTGTCAGGAGTTCAAATTGGTAATTCCTGAATGCTTATTTTTCAATAATATCCTACTCGCCATGCTTTCCGTAGAATCGTATTACAAAATAGAATGCCACGCAAAGTATAATTCGTGGCATGGTATTATATCCCGTCGTTCTGTTATTCGCCTCACGCGCTACCATCGGCTGCACCACAGTTTCCTTTCAATTTCGGCAGACTTGAGGCAATCATTCTACCTCCTCTCATCTCCCTACAACCTAAGTATATTCAAACATTTTCGCCTCTACTCTCACTCAGAACAGTAAATCCACCTTCTTTAACACCTTAACACGTACGAGTATATTCACACCTTGACATCGTCTCTTTTGGTATCATCGGAGAGTTTTCTTTCCTTCAATTTCGTGCACACCTTCAACCCGTATTCTTTAACCCCCATGTTTAGTTTTTCATTCCTTTATATCGCACTCTATTCCAGTAACTCCTGGTGCTGTCACCACACATTCGTTCCTCGGCCCCGCGGGTGTGAAGCCTACACCTGCCTCATGCGAATCACACTTACGTATACAAATGCACTGCCCACTTGGAGAAATGGGTAGGTCTGAATGACCCAATAGATGAGTTAACCGCGTCTAAATATTGATGCACTTTATTGACTCACTTGCCCATTTGTGGGTCATACTGACCTATTACTGGCCCTTAAAATTTCAGATATGACTCATACAACTGGGGACACGTTTTATATATGGACGCGGTTTAATCATCCCAGTGGGTCATCCAGACCCATCCATTTCTCTCACTGCATCAATATGACCCCACTTGTTCACTCGTGTTTTCCACATCTATATCTTCAGCGTTCAAGGTTACTCATTCGCTGTGATTTTATTTTTTACATTAAAGCTCTTTTCTTTGATTCTACATCTATAACTCTCCTTGAAGTTCCTTCTTCTTATGTCTCTTCTATCTCACTCCCCCACGGCAGTCCATCCGTGACACTTAGTGCCATCAGATCACACTACTCCATTTAGTACTACCTCTAGTCTATTTAGGTCTCCATCACTGTATGCTATCAAATCTAATCCATGCATTATGCTGGGAACTGCCAATCAATAACTGGCGCTCCCCAAGAATTCCCTACCACTGATTTGTCTCTGATTTCTATCTTCATACCTGGCCCACGCACACGTCTAACACCTCACCTCATTTGTCCTCCTCAAAATCTCACTACCTCCCAACTGCCGTACTTTGTCAATGTCCCACCATTATCAATTCACAACAAGTACTCAGCAAAGTTCAGGGCACTGAACCACACACTGGTCCTAATGACATGCATGGTCTTGATCCAAAAATCACTGGTCCTGATGACATGCCAACATGACTTATCAAAAGTACCAGTCGAACTTGCTAAACATAAATTGTCCATTCAACAATTTTAAGTAGTGCACAATGGATTTAATCAATTCAAGGTAAAATTTCACAATCAACCAGTTCACACTTTAGAAAACGAGTACATGGCCAAATGCACTCGTATTGCGAGACCCTCGCCAACCACAGAAATTACTGATGAATTTACTACTCTTCAAAAGTGGCAACTATATATACGGGCTTTGACATAACTGGTTATTAATATGAGTGGGCAACTTGTAGCCCTTGTTTTGCAATGTATTGTTCACCAGAAAATAAGGTCATTGTCACAATGACATGATAACCAAAGAAATTCTTGACAAAAAATTTCGTCATGCCAAAATGCTTGTTCTAATGCGTTTTATTTAAGCATATGTTCAAATTCATGCGGCCCAGCGCACAGTAAGCAACGTCTGGGAGCATTACAGCCTTCAGCAAGGTGGTTTTAATCTTTGGCATCTGTAGCACCTCAGTGCGGGTGGTACAAACGGTCTCACCTGATAGGAAACATATCCAATCGATTTCCATTGTGAAACATAGTCAGACGAATGATATCAGAGATGGCAATATCTCCTGCACAGGCCAGTTCCATCACTTCTTCCACGCTGACATTAGGTTCAATTGGTCCAAAAACATCATGCACACGTATATCAGAACCTGGCTGATAGCAGCGAACAGCCCACTTCCCAATTGCTGAAATAGTTAAATAATTAGCAATGTTTTGTCCACTGTCAAAGGTCCTTCCTGTGAGCGATGCTGCGAGGTGAGCGAGCTGTGAGTTCCCTCTAGACACGCGTCACCCAAGCTGTGGCTGCCAACTGGAACCAAAAAATGTAACGGGGCCGAGGTTGCCAGGAGTTCTAATTGGTAATTCCTGAATGTTTATTTTTTCAATAATATCCTTCGCGTCATGTTATCAGTAGAATCGTATTACACAGTAGAATGCCACGCAAAGCTTAATTATCGGCACATATTCATTTATTCGAGAGATTTGCCCCTCCCACGCGGCTACAATATTTTCTATTAGACATGGAATTTACTGAAATATACTAGTAATTTAAAAAATTATTCAAATAATTTCATGATCATAATTTAAAAATTTGTATTATAGCCCGTCGTCCTGTCATTCGCCGCACACGGTACCATCGGGTGCACCACAGTTTTCATTAAATTCCGTCAGACTTTAGGCAGTCATCCTACCTCCTCTCATCTCCCCACAACGTAAGTATTTTCAAACATTTTCGCCTTTACTCTCACTCAGAACACTGGTCCTGATGACATGTCACCGTAACTTTCCAAAAGTACTAGTAGAACTTGCAAAACATAAATTAGCCATTCAACAAGTTTTAGGAGCGCATGATGGACTTAACCAGTTCAAGGTAAAATTTTCTAGTGCTTCGCATTAGAAAACGAGCACATGGCAAAATGCACTCGTATCGTGAAACTCCTCTGCAACCACAGAAATTACTAATGAATTTACTACTCTTAAGAAGACGCAAATATATATTCGGGCTCTGCCGTCGCTGGTTATTAATATGAGTGGGCAACTTGTAGCCCTTGTTTTGACACGGCTTGGATTGTTTACCAGAAAATAACGTCATTGTCACAATGACATGATAACCAAAGAAATTCTAGACAAAAATTTTCGTCATGCCAAAATGCTTGTTCTAATGGGTTTTATTTAAGCATATGTTCAATTTACAGATATAAAACAAAAATACAAACAATTGCTTGACATCAAACGGATTAAATTATTTTTGCTATACTGTTATCCGTATTATTAAACTATTACAAGGATATTATTACTATCAGTCAACCGATTTACAACGAATTTGAATTTCAGTGATTGTGATTAGCACACGGCAATAAGAGAATTTAAATCGTTGTCGATTATATTAGCTCAAATGGTATTTTTTTTATTTTAGAATATCAAATTCAAAAATAGAATCACCACCAATCAGATTATTCCCCCCTCCAAAAAGTATATTTATTAGAATAATATTTTCAAATTTCAACTCGGGTCAACACGTGCAAGTGAATATTCGTAATTACCTGTTATCAATAGAAGTTCCTCACGACCGCAGCATGTGCGCAGTTTCTCAAGGTATACATAGAGTATATAACGATGGAGTACATAAAGGAAATACGGAAAGATTACTTTAGTTTCAAACTGTAAAGTCTGCTCGAAGAAACCTCCGTAATGAAAATCTTGGTATTGCTGCTTTCTGTTCTCCTTGGCGTCTCTCTTTCAGGTACTTTGACCATTTTCTAAATGTTACTGCTTAGAATTCTTTATCGTGTTCTAAAAGTGTGTTCTGTCAGAATTGTGTATATCCTGCTTTTCGATGCATTTTGATGCTTCTTGTTAGAATTACGTGTAAGCATTCAAGCTTCTAATTTACATCGAAAACACGGGCCGGACCTTAATCTTTGAATTCATTTCTATTCAATGAGTTACGCCTGCCGATTATAAAGTGAAGTACAAGCTGTGCATTTATTTTTATATAAATCATTCAAACAAAGAGTCTACAACTATAGCACAATTACTTAATAGTTACGTTATTAAAATGTCACTGTTAAGGTGTTATTGTTCTAGTTCTGTTGTAGAAATTGATTTCCCACAATAGAGGAAGAGAAAACCTGGAGTTCAGCAAGTTATTAGCATATGACTGAATGATGATTTATTTTTATCGTACATCACAAAATATTATCCTAAAATAAGATATTTAACAAATAATTTGCGTGAACTTGAGATAATTTTTGAGCAGATAGCAATGTGAACATTTTAAACGTTAAAAATGAAGAATGAATTTTGTTTGACAGAGGGCGTGATGGTTTGCTACTACGGTTCCTGGGCTGTGTATCGTCAAGGCACCGGCAAATTCGACGTAGAAAACATTGATCCTTACCTCTGCACCCACATCGTTTACGGGTTTGCTGGCCTAGGTTCCGATAACACAATTCGGGCGCTGGATCCATGGAATGATCTGTGCGACAACTACGGGAAATGCGCCTTTGACCGCTTCACTGGACTGAAGAATATCAATCCTCAGCTGAAGGCTTTGCTTGCCGTTGGAGGATGGAATGAGGGATCCGCCAAATACTCTGCGGTGCGTCTGGGAGCTGCAAGGTTACTCAAACATTTGGTTATCTTGATGATAGATTTTTCGAACATTTCTAATTATGTCATCATGACGCCGATTACGAATCTAGTTTAATTTGAATGAATTTACATTGGGGACTATATGTTGTCCCGATATTTTTCAGTGCCTGCCGATGCGTACTTGCGTTACAATCATGAATGGATGTCTGATATAGATCGAAAGTGTTTTTTAGCGGGAAATATGATTCGGCTCGATTTTTCTTAGAAATAGGGACATCGGGATCGGATCGTATTCTGAGTAATAATTTTTTTAATCTCCACATCTTTATTTTTTATCTCATCGATTCGCAAATGCAAATTTCGAAGTAAGATAGGTAGCGAGATATACGACGAATCATTATCTTTACGGTAGTATAGTTAATATTCGTTGCTGGATATATGATGAAAAAAAAGTTAAATGCAAGTTATCTTTAAACATTTTTGTACTTAATCGTAACTGAATCGTTTCCATATAGGATATTTTGATGCTTAGTAGAGAATATCTCTTCAATTGATGGCTGACTTTTTGTTCGATTGAGGCTATCCTTGTCATGGATCCTAATAATAAAATAACCTCAAATGGCAGCTAATGGGATCTTAATTATATTTATTCCATTAATTTTCGAAATACTGCAATAGAAATCAGTTGAATTTAACCAGTAATAAAATTCTTTCATATCTTCAAGAGAATATACTCCTGATGACCGCTCCAAATTCGCAAGATCAACCATGCAGGTAGAATATCATCATCTGTCCTACGTGTAATTCCTACGTATGGCATCCGAATACCTGTGAACAGGTTTCTTCATATTGCTGCCGAAGAATCGCATTATATTGTGATTATTTTCATATCGTGAATAATTTTCTATGTTATTGTGGCAGATGGCAGCCGACCCTGGAGCCCGACAGACTTTCATCGCTAGTGTCCTGGAGATGCTGGAAGCCCACAACTTCGACGGTCTCGACATGGACTGGGAGTATCCGACCGACCGCGGCGGTGCTCCAGAGGACAAGGTTTGGGATGGTAGACATTTATCGTTTTATAAACCTATACTATCGTATAATACATTTAAAACTTTGCAGCTTTAATGGAAAATATATCTAATATCATACCACAGAATTTAGCTATCATGTGCAGTTTAAGGTATATAACTAAATGCGAACCAATTTTGTAATTGACTGAATGAACTCAAAAAGAGAGCAAGCTTTATATGATGAAAAAAACGTTTTCCTCTCCTTAATTACAACGAGTTTAAAACATTTTCTCATCTTTCATGTGTGCCTTGAAGTATTGTGTTTGAGATGGGGTTGGGCCAGGATCGAGTGCTTGTTAGGCCAATAAACACTCTACTATTACTTCATATGCCACAGCCTGTAGATGCGGAAGAGCACAGAAAGGGCAGGTATTGAAGTGGGGTATATGTGCATGGTGTCGCAGTTCATTATTGCTTGTCGCAGTGCGTGTCGTCGTAATACTGGAGCATTGCTGATTTGAAAATCTAGTGATGAGATGGGTAAATTATTATCAGCTTATAAGCTGCATGGCTGAGAATAATTATTCAATTTGTAGATGCACCATGGTAGTCACTAGATTTAGGTTTATTAGTGAGGCAAATTTATTGCTCCGGGCCTGCTGCGCTGGGGTTGCTGGTAAAGGATAGGTGTTCTAGGACATTTTTAATTATTTTCTATTTACAAAACTCTACTAAGCAGTTTATAATAAATTAAAATAAATTTATTTTATTCTTCGATTAGATAAAAAGCATTTCTGTTAATTTTATTCTGTTCTTAGATACAATAGTAAAATGTGGATCACTTAAATTCTAATTGTCTCGTTGCTTAAGTAACTGTCAATCATGCTTCTGTAATTATTGCTCTATATATTAAGCGCGAAAGAACAGAATTTCTGAAAATACCAGTATAAATTTTTATTCCGTCGAACGTTTTTCACAATATCGCGGTAACTATTTTGCACTGTGACAGCAAAAAACAATAACATTCGCTTCTATGAAAGCTTCTTCAATGTTAGTTCGAAGGTCGCGCCAGTAAGCAGTAAACAAACACTTCAGCAAACATGTGACATTTCTCACGCTCCTGTATAAATGGCCATTCTGTTCTGTTTATCGCGTTTGACGTCAACTCAACATTGAATGACATGGCGCCAGGCGCATTGACATTAAGATTCTATCGCAATGTTATCTCCTTGTTTAACGAAAGATACATGAAAAAAATTATTCTTGTGGTGGCGAAATAATATGACTAATTGCTTGGAGTCATGACAGGATGAATAGTTGAACGATACATTTTTGCTGGAACTCATTTTCAAGTTTGATCATAACTTTCAAACTATGCCTCCGTGAAGTGTTCAATCTAACCTCTGGGATTTATTTTGGAGCGTTTAGATTAAAATATAAAACCCCATGAACGATAAAAAACTTTTAAATAATAGTTCTGTTGAATGTTTATATATGAATTTTTTTGCTATTGTGTACGTTTTTATAAAGACTGACCCTTGAAATGCAGGCCACACAATTTATAATGACTGGCCCTTGAGCACGGTACACAATTTCATTCCAGTCTTAAAGTTTATTGCACCAGAAATTTTAGTTTAGTGATTGAATTAAGAGATTCCGCGGAACATAATAAGCCTTGTCTCTTTTTTATCCTAAAAAAAGTACAGCCAGGTTAAGAACTGAAATAATATAATCGTTTAAATTAACTTGATTGAAGTTTACCTGGAATTATTTTAATTTCACGTACAGCTAATACTTCACGTTGTGAGTATGGAAAATAGAAATCCCACCATGTTTACGCCTGTATTAAATTGTAAATAATGAATAAAATTTGGTGTCTATCATTGACAAATAGAAGTCGATTCAACTTGCGCAGTTCTATATTGAAACAACCTAATTAATAAAGGAGGCGTGCACTGAAGACTTATTTAGAAAGTACAGGGTGTTTCAGAATTAAGTAACCCTTTTAATTTGTTAATAAATAAAAAAACTAAGAACGTTATGAAGTTGAAACTTGTTACAAGACTTCTCTTTAACTTCACTTCTTGTTTGTTTGTCTGTCTGTCTGTCTGTCTGTCTGCTACAAATCTTATAATCGATATTTAACACACTTCTACCTGTCCAATCGATTCGAAATTTTGCACACTTGCATAAAGATGGAGACAATGTATGAATCAATTTACAGAATAAATAATTATATAAATAAAAAAAAATTCATTATTAAAAAAAATAATAATAATTTCGTCTGCTACAATTCTTATAATCCATATATGACACAATTTGACCTGTCCAATTGATCTGAAATTTTGCACAATTGCATAAGTTCAGAGACAATGCATGAATTAATTGACAGAATAAATAATTTCGAAAATTTACAAAAATATTGATATCCTAAAAAAATTTTGATAAATAATTTTTTTTCAATATTTGAAAATAAAATTAGAAATTCATTGTACATGTGTAACATCCAAGACACTGGATTGTTCAGAAGTGTTGTCTTTNAAATGAGGCGTGCACTGAAGACTTATTTAGAAAGTATCATGACACAGGTGAACTTCATCACGCTCATGTCAGAGCTGAGCGACGCTCTCCACGCGCGCGGTCTGTTGCTCACCGTCGCGGTGGCTGCCGGCAAGACGACCATCGATGCATCGTACGATGTGCCTGGTCTCTCTGCTGTAGTTGACCACATCCACGTGATGGCTTACGACTTGCACGGTGCATGGGAGACCTACACGCATCACCACGCCATCCTATACGCCTATCCTCAGGTAATCATATAATGATGAGGAGAACAATCAATAGTAACTTTTCACTATCGAGCGGACTGTTATGTTTTCACGTCACTCACACTGCCAGCCGAATAGTTCTTTGTATACTGCGATTAAATTTACACTGGACGGTCAAGCCACGACTGAACTTATTTTAATGCTGAATATGTTGCAGGTCTGTGAATACTTTCGCAAATTTATTTCAAATACGAGTTTACACTCGCTGTCGACATATAGTTTTTTTTTACTTTTTCCACTGTGGCTATCATAAATGTCCCTTCTTACGGTATTTTGATGTGACCATTTGTTGCTCGAGAATTTAATTTTTCGCTTATTAACGGAAATACTCGCCATAGCCCTCGCGTCCGCTAAGCAGATACATGTTGTACAATGATTCGAACTGTGGTGTGTTTTAGTTATAAGATGAATCCGTTGGGTGGTATTTTCTTAATTAAATGAATCTCTTTACCCCGAACCCTCTTTAGAGTATTTAATTTGGGGCAAGTACGTATATGGCAAGAAAATAAAATAACTTGAATGTTTTCTTGCAGTGTAGGCTAAACTTCTACATCACAAGCTTATCCTTTTTCATTTCAAAGCCATTGAAGCAATGGTATATCTAAACGTCATTATGAGGATATTCCGGCGGGAAAACTCTTGTAATAATAGTTGATACGGTAAAATCTCCAGTAAAACGAAACTTCATTTCAAAAAACGAAGCGGTAAAATATTTCATTTCAAAATATCTCTGAACATAACCTATAGGAGCGCAAGTTTAGAATCAATTCTTCATTGCAGGACACGGGCGACAACGCCTTTCTTAACGTCGACTACGCAATCAACTACTGGCTGCAGCTGGGAGCCCCTGCCTCCAAGCTCGTGCTAGGGACGGCCACCTATGGGCGCTGCTTCAGGCTCGACTCCAGCGACTCGACTGGCATGTACGCTCCCGCCTCACAGCCGGGCAGCGCCGGACCCTACACGCGGTCGCCTGGCTTCCTGGGATATAATGAGGTGTGCTGGGATATAATGAGGTGTGCTGGGATATAAGGAGGTGTGCTGGGATATAATGATATGTGTTGGGATATATTGAGGTGTGCTGGATATAATGAGGTGTGCTGGGATATAATGAGGTGTGCTGGGATATAATGAGGTGTGCTGGGATATAATGAGGTGTGCTTGAACATAACGAGATGAGCTTGGACGTAATACGATGTGCTGTGGGTTTCAGTGTAGTTTTTATGATGTATATGAGCATGTAATCTGCGAAATGCATATAGAGCGAAGCTTTTCGTCAATTTCTCAACTGTATTGTTCTCATGATAGATGGGCTAACTCTTCCTAAATCTACAACTCACCATTACTGAACATAATGAGTAAAAAAAGTCGCAATTATTTCACATCATTCAATATGGGAATCAGTTCTTTCCTTCGTATGTTTTTGAATTATTAACTTCTGAACCCATGAACTATTATTTATTTTGTAATCGACCATAGTATACAGAACTAATATTCACGTACTGATTTACTGCAGGATTCATTGAAGACAAGAGAGCATTTCTTATTGACAATTTTCTTTTTGTATTTCTTTATTCGGCAAATTAGGCATTAAAGAACAACTTTTGCCAAATTACACCAATGTTACTGATTTACATACATGAATATTAAAGCTATTATCCTAATGGGGATCGTCAGCTGTGTGAGCACGAGCTGACGAGTGCGTGGACAGTCGTCAACGACCCTCAGATGAACGAGCCCTACGGCTACGACCTGACCTTCGGCAACACCTGGTGCGGCTATGACAATCCTGATTCTCTCATTACCAAGGTACGCTATACTCGTATACTGTGAACGTGTATAGGCAATTCAAGTCTACTCCAGTGACAGTAGCATCGTCCACTCTATTCGTCTTCCTGCACATAAATGTGATATATCTTGTGACTTCAGTTCATGAATTTTATCACTAATATTATTGAATATTATAATATTGTTGGTGGACATATGATGATGGTAGTGAAATTTTTATAATTTTTCTGAAAATTTCTCCGACCGAAATCCCGAACGAAATGTACATAATTTCCCTAGGATAAAACTTTAACACTCTCATGTTATGAACGCAACTTATAAATTCGCTTCAAATAATCACGAGATTGTCATCGCGCAGGCGCAGTACGCGCAGCAGAAGGGGCTGTTGGGAATGATGGTGTGGAGCATCGAGACGGACGACTTCCAGGCAGAGTGCCACGCTCAGCCCTTCGTCCTGATCAGGACCACGAGGGAGGCCTTCACTGGTGTACCCATCACCACTCCCGTACCCGCCTCAACCACCACCCGGGTAAGAGTTTTGACTGGTCATGAGCTAACCATTAGGTGTCCTATCCGTCGCATAAGTGAAAGGGTTTAGTGAGTAAGGGATCTAACTGGTGAACATCATCCCCCTCTGCCCACCACCACCAACCACCACTACCACCCGTGTAAGAATATTCGCTTGCAATGAGATAACCATTATGCACATTATTTGTCGCTTGAGTGAAATGGTTTAATGAGAAATAGATTTCACTGGTGCATTGCAACACAACCCCCGTTTCATTCGTGCAACACAACCCCCACAACCCCCGTTTCATTCGTAAGCTAATATGCTCCTCATTCAATAAACATGCTACAGCATCGAGAGACACATCATTTGATTTGTAAAGATCATATCAAAAAACCATCCGATCATTTTTTCTAATTTCTAATTTGTTCGGGCGGGTGAGAGAATTTTCCGAAATTTTTCAATTTCCCTTCTCCGCCCCCGTTTTTTTCAATATATAATCCAAGCAATAAAGAAATAAGGAAAATGATGGATTTGATTGTAGAAATTTTCTTTACGAATCGGATGATATATTTCTCACTGCTCTAGCTTGAAAATCATTGGAGGAGATAGATTTTAACGATGAAAATTTAAACTTTTCAGTAGTCAAAAAACTAAAATTTGTGATCATTGAAGGCATAGCCTTTACTTGCGCTTTGACTGCTATTGTGAACGTACAAACGAACGCGCTAACTTGGCTTTGAGTATTTTAAATGAGTGAATCTTGGAACTTCAAAATAAGACTAAAAACCGGAGAAGCCAAAATTTTCGATTTTTTGAGCGAAACAGTCCACCAATCTGCCCAATTACATTGATTGATCGTTCTCTTGATTGTCCTAGGTAATTAATCTGGTCATTAATTTACTTTCGCATGAATTGAAATAAGTTGTTCTTCTAACTGTTGTAATTAACTTGAAGCAGTTGAAGAATTTTGAATCATGACAAGTAATAATCATGGGTAATGGTTGTAATATTAAATGGATTATAAAGCATTAGCTTCATTTTCTCTCGACATAGATTAATATTTTTAGTTATTCATGCCATTAAAGTAAATACTTGTTTTGATTGATCTGTTTATTTCAGGATCCAAACCTCACTACCGAGTCAACCACGACCCAAGCGCCAACGACAGTCACGTTCCCCACAGCGGGACCAGGCGAACATTGTTCCCACCCTGGCAACAATCCTGACCCTGTCGACTGCAGCTTCTTCTACCAGTGTGTCTATGTGAGTAGTAAATGCTGCTCAAAGCCTATGTTCACTGCCGACCTGTGACTGACTGTAGATTCGGTGGAAGTCATTAAAGAAAATTTTTTTTCTTCTTCAAGTGACAGTATGTCTATCAGAGTCGTAAATGCATGTAGTAAGAAAACTGATTTTCTATAATTTTCAGTCCAGTGGCAATTTGTCAGCGTATGTTCTACATACTGTTGACATAATTATTCGAAATTTACCAAGATGTCCATATTATTCAATATAGTATATTCGATCGAAATAAAACGGATATACAGAAAATCCGAAAGTTACATTGATGAAAATCTAAGGTATTCCCTATATTTACATAACAAGGTCGATTAATTTTTGTCCATTTTATTTATATTGTGACTAGTGAAACCAATTATACAAATTACATGAATGAACAACGAAAGTATTGCAATTTACAGACCGGTAGTGGCTACATCGAGACGGTGACACCATGTCCCCCAGGCTCCCTGTACAACCCTGAGACTTTCGTCTGCGACTACGACTTCGCCGTGTGTGCCCTCGACCCCTCTTACTGTCCTGCGAACTGCCCTCTTTGATTATTTTAACCCTCGTGGCCTATTAAAATAACGAGTCAAACACATTACTCTTTTTTTTGGTATTGGTCGAACCTTGATTGTTATTAGTATTATTATTTTTTATTATTTGATGATACCTCTGATTATTTTTACCCTCGTGGCCTATTAAAATAACGAGTCAAACTCATTACTCTTTTTTTTTTGTATTGGTTGAACCTTGATTTTTATTATTATTATTTATTATTTGATGATACCTCTGATTATTTTTACCCTAATGCGGCCTATTGAAATAACGATGCAAACTCACTTCTTTTTTTTTGTATTGGTCGAACCTTGATTGTTATTATTATTATTATTATTTATCATTTGATTATTTGATGATACCTCTGATTATTTTTACCCTAACGGCCTATTAAAATAACGATGCAAACGAAGCACTTTCTTTTTTTTAATTAGTTGAACCTTTATTGTTGAGCATACGTTAGGTAGAAGGCTTATGAACATTAATGCTCAACTACCAGTGCTAATAAATCCAACTTCGAGCAAATACTAAATTTTTTTCATAATAACCAATTGTTTTGGTAACATTTGGCAACGCAGAATTAACACAGAAATCAACCCCAAGTTTCCTCTGTTATTAAATTTCCTCACTCAGTCAATTTTTACATTTTCTATTCCTTAACAATATCCTGCTGCCATTAGTGGTGAGGCGATCGAGAAACGAATTTCCATTTTTTGTAATAAGTTTTTTTCTTATTGACGAAGCCGTGCAATCGAACTCATCGAATCAATGTCGTGCAACCCTGCTCTGTTCTGGCAATTTAGTAAATGATTTAAATGCTGATCCAAATAATTTATTGACATAATTACGTGGCTACTGAAACTTATCAAAATAAAACTGGTTACTTTGATTGACGAAATTTACGCACACTGAACGAAAGTTATTGTCAAAGCTTAAATATTCTTAGTTCCTAATCAACAGTCATCGCAGTAATTTTATTCTTAATTAAAATTATGATAGAATTCTTGCTCCAAAAACTAGCACGCTGTTTCTGTTAAACTTATAAATTTTGGTGCCTCGTGTCCTTTCATCTCCACAACGCGAGCGCTGCAGTCGCCTCTCTCTTGGGTGCTGCTGGAACAAGGGAATTCGTGCATCGATCTGTCCAATATCTCCGCCTGCGAAAGTAATACGAAAATATTATTGAGGTTGTTAGGGTGATTTGAAGCCTAACTTGTATGGCTTCACGCGGAAGTCTTTACTTGTTAAAGATTCAGTTTAAATAATGTGTAATTGGTATTGATTAAAACTAATTATCCGTTTTTTTGATAAGTTGTTCCACGTATCTATCAGCATTTAAACTGAAGAAAAAATATAACTCAGTACTCACTGCAGTGAGCGACAGAGAGCACATTTCTCGTCGACGAAAACGTGAAGTCACGGACAGACGGGCAGACAGACGGACAGACAGACGTACAGATAGACGGACAGACAGACGGATGGACGGAAATGACGAGCACAATAGGGCATTTTTTCATAAATGAGAAAATATGTATGAAACTATTCAGAAATGCCTAATTATTCTATTTGAGTTCTATTATTAAAAATTCAATCACCTGAGTCCTGGAGATCTGACAGCCCTGACACGTGCTCCTTCCAACCGCCATATTCCCGCAATGACTGCCGTCTGCGTTGCTGTCGCGTCGACGCCTGAAATATCACTAGATTTCGCGATCACAAAACTAAAGCACTTAGAAGGTAAATATCATAATCTGTTTGCGAAAATAAAAATTGGCAACGTTAAAGGAAAATGATATTATTTTTAACTGGGTGTAAAACGTATGGTCAATTACGAAGGCGACGCCTGAAATTTCACTAGATTTCGCGAACACAAAACTACTGCACAATTAGAAAGTAAATATCATAATCTGTCTTTGAAAATAAAAAGGCAACGTTAAAGGAAAATGATATTATATTTAACTGGGTGTAAAACGAATGGTCAATTCCGAAGTCTATAAGGTAATGTTATGGTGGACGGGAGATAATCCGTTTTTTTGCAATTTTAACTTGTATCCAGGTATTGAACCCTGTATGAACAAATCATTCATTGTTACATGTATAAGTATCTGTGCAATAAAAATATATTTCTCTAATAAATGGTTCAGGTGCAATGAATAATAAATACTTCAAGTCACATCAGAGTTAATTAAGGTTGCCACAACTGGTGACGTTGGTAGGACATAAATTTAAATTTTAAGTTTCAAATCATAACTATTTTAATTTAATTAATAAGTAACGTTAAGCCTAGACGCTGCAGGTGTTAATTCACCTATGAGCGTTACCTTAGCCCGTTGCCAGCCGCGTCTTGCCAGGAGTTTTTGTACACCCAGCGCTCGACGAGCTGGGAGAGGTCGCGGCGCAGCACCGCGTTGCTCAGTCCATAAATAAAAGGGTTCACCATACACGACGTCTTCGCGAAAATAGTCGGAAAAACGTACCTAAGATTGGAAAAAACAGTGAACGTTTTTTTTTATCAAATTTGGTCATGGGTGAAACTAAGTTCAATTTCTAAAACTATACATGTGAAGTAATAAAATTTTTTGATAGTAATCAATATCTGAAAATGATTTTGAGGAGCAGGTTGACTTGGTTACCAACCTCATGATCAAAAATAAGATCTTTTTCAGATTTATCATCGCTTTATTCTCTCACCATCTCAAAATTTTGTGCCAAATATAATGTTTCCATATTTTTAGCGCATTTTCTCATTTATGGAATAAAAGGCGCTATTGTGCTCGTCATGTCCGTCCGTCTGTCTGTCAGTCCGTCCGTCCGTCCGTGACCACGTTTTCGCCGACGAGAAAATGCGCTCTCTGTCACTCACTGCAGTGAGTACTGAGTTAATTTTTTTTATCATCAATCTTACCAGATAGCGTTGAGGTCGGGCACTACAATGGAAAGCAGAGACACAGCGCAGTACGGCGTCCAGAACACCAGGAATGCCACTACCATCATAAAGTTCATCTGCATGCAGAGTGAAGTTTATAAAATTATTCTAAATTTATTTAGTAATGGCGGAGGAGGTTGAAGTCTAAGTCATATTTATGGAATTAGAGCAACTCATTGTCATGCAGATGTCAACTTAGGCGTGAACTGATTATATATGCCAAAACCGAATATTTGAAGAATACATTTATAAAAATTAGTTACCGTCTTATACAAGTAGGCGAAGATACATTGAAATAAAATTGAAAACAATAATTGCTTTATAATTGTACGCATATAGAATAGCTTCCCCCACAAATTTAGACTAGTTGAAGAAAACCAACCTTCAATATTCGTTTTTCGAGGGCCGACTGCGATGTTCTCTCGCATACGCACACCAAATGCTGGCAGCAACTGATCTGTGGGTACAGGAGATTGTCAAAGTACTCACTCGCGAAAAGGTCGTGTAATGTTTGACTTTTGGAGGGATTGATGTGAACGAGGCACAATTAAAATTTTATGTGACAGAATTTTAAAGTTCGTTATTTTGCGTCATTCGAGGACGTGATGGCGCACTCCGAATTTGTTAGTAACCGCTGCCATTACGTACCAAATTATTCCAAATATTACGGTTAGCTATTCAATTTTACTTCTGTTGATTGTCTACAAAAGAGTTTCGACTACAAATTCAACAACATGTAAATCATCTGTACTCTGTACTCGGTCCTTGTAGTTGAAACCTGACATTTTACAGAGTCTTAAACTTTGATATTTGGTTACATTAAGAATTAAATAATGAAATTGACTTATTATTTGTCTAGAATTTTGATAAAATCCCAATTTGAAAATAGCTTGTGTAAAATTAGTCTTACACTAAATAATAATTTAACCTCCCTGTCTTCCTTCCTATCTTACAGAGGCTATAACATGAACAGGCGTTTCCTGGGTCTTGAGGAACTCAATGGCGCTCGTTTCCGGAGGACGCACAAGGAGCGACTGCGTCTTGCGGAGTATCTTCGTGTAGCAGACGACAAGCAGCAGCACCTGCAGCAGGTAGCAGAACACGCACAAACCTGCACAAACACGTGTGAAGCTTGTATCAGAAGCAATAAAAACCTGCACAAGCTCACAAACCAGCACAAACACGAGCCGCAACCGCAACTGTCTGCAAAAAGGGACCATTTTAGCAATTTCTGCTGCTATGATGATTCCCGTGTTCAAATTTATGTTATTACTTCCATAATTAAACACTATTCGAGAGTTGCTGCACAATGACTTTTTGCAAGACATGAGGCTTGCTACGACAAATAATGATTATCATCTACGTAATGACTGATAATCTGCTAATCAATTTACTCGCATGTTTCTATACATGTCAAGTAAATCTATTCCTACCAATTGGTTAGGCAAATATTATTATTATTTTACCATATAATGTATAATGTAGCTGATATTCGTAACGTTTTCGGTGAAAATCTTATCAGTATCATTTCATTAAATTTACTTTTAAATTCTTGATTAATTTGCGATTCAAGCGATCAAATAAACCTCAAATGTCTGGCATACTTTGTCGTTGTAATTAATGAAAATTATGATGCATAAACGAGGTATACTTTTGCAGATCAGCGTACATTTTATATCAGATTGATCCAAAAGATTTCCTATTTTTTCAGTTGCACCTTCTGCCCAAATAACAATTGCTGGAAGAATAAAGTCTTACCGCATTTTTATGAGTATTTCTAAGCCCAATTATAATATTGACTAGTGCAAGATACTACAAGGCAATCAGGAGTCTGCAAATTCCTGTTGCGCGTATAAGGCGTCTCACAGATGGCGTAGGTGACGCCAGCGGGGGACGTGTCATGCCAGTCTACGGAGCAGGTGACGCCAGAAGGCTCGTAGGTGTAGCGCGACCAACCCACCAGCGGCCACGCGGTCCAGCACACGCAGTACATCCACACCCCCAGCACACACTTGCCTGCAGTGCCACTGTGCAGCAGATGCTCTGCTCTCAACATCAACAAAGCTTTGAGTTACATCGCCGAGGTTTTGAGTTACGAGTACATGCAATGCTTTGCTCGCTTCATTGTGCATCACATTGCACATGTCAAAACATGTCAAGCTCGAACTAATGATTGAGTTAGTCTCAGAAACGTTTAAAGTGAGATCACTGTTAGCTCACTTCTCGTTTTCTTCAGAAGTCTTATGGTCGATTTGCGATTTAGGAAAATCAATTATTCAAACATATATATTTTGTATAAAAGATTTAATTTGAATATGTGTTCCTAATTATATGGCTGGATTGATCTTCTGAAAACATATGAAACTTACGTTGGTATTTTATTCTACCTTGAGAATAAAATATGTACAATAAATTATCTCTCTAATTCGAATATTCCAGGAAATTGAATGTTTGCTACTTTCCTGAAGCATTCTAGCAAAGCTTCGGCAAAACAATTTCACGTTCAATTCAGAAGTCTGTAAGTCAGTTAATGCGATAGTCTTTTATTGTTATCAGTTAGAATTGAAAGTAAATTTGCTGCGCTTTGCAGACTGAATAGATAACAAATGTTATACTGGGCACTAGAGAAAATTCATAAATTGTAAATTAGCAGATAGCAATGTTAAATACAATGCAGAGATGACAATTCTACTGGAGACAGTCCGGCATTTGAAAAGAAACAAATTGAACCTAATCTTGTTAAGGATAAATATTTGAGACCAAACTCACTGTACTGCGGCCGACACACGACGACGTAGCGAAACAAGGAGATCGCTACCAGGGTGTTCATCTGCACCTGCATTGCAAACCAGGCATGTCATCGATCTTTTACTGAACATCCTCGATAAGAATTTATTTTCATGTAAGGGTTAATAAATTACTCCTCAAGGTAAATTTATTCCATGTTCTCTAACCAATATGGAATGAAATTCTTGTTAGTGCTCTGAAATTGCCACGTTGAATCTGTAACGCAAATTATTTTTTTCGAAACAAATGAAGTTTGTTCTTTTTTTTATTAATATGAGAAAAGAATGCATGTAATGAAAGATCGCTGGTTCCAGTCATGAAATTAGAATTATCTTTCCTGTACAAGATTTAAGAGTTTCAATTATGTGCTCAGACACCCTCACGAATGAAGGTGAAATGGAAAAACACTTGCGAGCACAAGCAAATCTAAGAAAATTTCACGAGCTAAACATCACCGTTGGATAGCTAGGAATGTATATTCAAAATTCCCTTCAAATCTGCTCAGTACTTTGTTCGAAATGTCTTGTTCACTGCGAATTTTGGCACGTATCGCCATATAACTCACGAATGAAAGCGAAATAAAAAATTCACGAGCTAAACATCACCTCTGGGTCCTAATGAATACGTGTACAAAGTTTCATTGAGCTACGTTCAGTACTTTGGGAAATATTCCTTGTTCACTGAATTTGGAGAACGACCGCGAGACCGGCCGCAAGTCCGAGAAATTAGTAGCCTTTTGTCCGAGAAATTAGTCACCTTTAAATTTGTCCGAGTAATTAGTTGCCTTTACTTCACACAGATTCATCGTCAAGAAGGATACTGCTTTCATCCTTGATGATCTTTTCGCATTTGCTATTCGATGTTGAACATGTTTTGCTTGCAGTATACGTAGATGCGCAACTCGAAGGTATGTGTATGTCTTCCTTTGCGATTCCATAAATTTTAAATTCTTCAACATTAATATAATTTCAAACCAGATCATTTTCTGCCAAATTCTATACCTTTTTATATTTTTAAATAAAGGTACCGAAGTTGGAACGCTGTGGCGCGTATGATAGATTGTAGCTAATGCTAAACTAAGCCATAATTTCCAAACTGATTTAACCGTACAGTTAACGCCAAACCCGTAATGGCGTTTAAATTGCTATAGAAAATAAAAAATGTTTAAAGGTCAAGTTATTTCTTATGAAAGGAGTTAAAAAGCTGCCAGGTAACAGTGTGGACAAGGATTTACTGTGAGTCATTTTTGACTTTCTGTTGCTTAATCCACGGCATCTTGGATAAGATTTCACTTAAACATTCCAAACTATATTTTTTATGGTTCTAGACTTTGAAAATTATTTTTTAAAATGCGGCTGATGGTAGAAAATGATAAAAACGTTATATCGCAATTCGTACACGTTTTTGGCATTGTACACGATTTAAGATCATTGACATCACTAATACCGTCGTCTTCGCTAACGCCAGTAAAAATGTTACTATGATAGACAGACACTAGGTTATTCGATAGTGCAAGATTTCAATTATTATTTTAACGCATAGTGAACAGAAAAGTAGAGAATTCAACATGTAAATGGAATGAGTGATGCAGGAATCACCGGAAAAATGTTCAGATGAAAATATAATTAATCGAGGAAATGCATAGACGAAGAAAACCGTCAAACAGCTTTTTCGCGAATACCAATCGATATGATAGTCATTGCCGTATTAATTTCAGAGAATTTAGAATACATTTATTATCATATTATTTATGTTCCCGATAAAAACATCTAATAGTGAGTGGCTTTATGAAATTGCCAACGCAAAATGATTTGTTTTATCTATTCATATCAATGCCGAGAGAACAGCGCATACTTTTTTTACCAGGTAAAACTTATGTTAAATATAATAATATTGATTTCAAATGATATTAAAGTTTGTTTATGATTTCTATGAAAATATTTACTAACACGATGCAGACTCTGTGAGTTTTTTATATCGTGTTCATCAACATTTATAAGAAGTGAAAAATATAAATGCGGAGGAAATGAGATATTTTCAATTTTTTTTCCAGACACTCACCAACCACGGTGAGGTAAACACCGACTGCGAACAGCTGGTTGCGAGTCAACAAGAGCTTGATGTCGTCGGCAGGTTCGATGCTATCCAGCAGTCGGTGAGTCGGGTCGTCTGTTGTGTTGTCCATTCCTGTTCACTGTAATATCTACACCAGTCTATTATTGATACTTAATCAACGCAGAAAATTTTGGGGAATAAGTAATAATAAGTATATTATTCCGAATTTCTTTAAAGTTTACAATCAATCGTCAAGAATTGTTGTTCGTGAGCGAGAGGAATCAACGAATTATGCGTATTTTCGTACACATACCGGAAAAATGAAATAGTAAATGAACAAATATGAGAAATGTCTCGAATGATTTCTCTAGAAAATTTTTCATTCGTCTGTCAAGATGAAATAAAAGGAAAACTGCAGGATGATCATAAAAAATTCTCAAAAAGTATCTTCCCGTTGACCGATTCTTGCTTATTTACAGAGCTGTTTATTGTGGCTTTGTTATTTCTTCTCTATAACTTCAAAGTTAAAATATTTAACAATCTGAAAATGTTAGAGTTCATCATCCTAGTAATATTTCATGCAAGCCGATATTACGAGGTCTAATTAATCTATATAGAGCGCAAAAGCTCTCCTCAAGAAATGTCGAGCTCATTAGCATCTAATTTATTCCAATGAAAGAACTTGAATTCATCTTGTCGACGCCGTCATTAGAACTTGTTAGTTGCGACGCATCAAAAGTCATTTCAATACAGCCGTCTTTAAAAAGAAACTTGCATGGCCTGAGTCGAGAAGTTCAGAGGACTTTGATTTAATTGGACGACCTTTACCCTCTAAAGAGCCCAATTATAGCACAGAAAAAGTTTCAATTTATCATCTCTAGCTGTGGCTACAAGATCCTTTAAAAATCAGCCGTGTTTCACTAAGTACGGAAGCGGGACGGAAATTCCTTCCTATACATCGAAATTGCATGTTGATGTCTGAGGCAGTGAAAAATAGTTTAGACAACAAGCAATTAAAAATTAGTTAGTTGCTGTTTTAAAATCTGATATTTTTATTCCTCGTTAGTTAGTAAGATTTCGTCAATACGGATTATTAATTTATTGTATGTTATGAAAGTTTTAAATGCTTTAATTTTCCGCAACAATAAAAACTCAATATAATGATCATTTTGTATGCAAAAAGCCATTTTCCTGTTTTATGTATGTTCGAATTCCTCTCAGACACACAACATTTTTAAAACGTAGCTAAAGTTTATCTAGTGCATTGATAACTCCTAATGCAATGACTTACCTTTAAAGAGTATGAGAGTGCGTTTTTAAAAAGTGTATTACCTAAATATGCTTGCTGTTAATTTGAGATAAAATTTTTAATAAATTTTCAGAGCTTTTTCATGTGAGGACACATACAAGTTCATGGAATGGCAGCTTAGTTTGAATGAAATTCACCTTAATTACAAATCAGAACATGGTAAACAGCTTTAACAGTTATTTAAGCTGCTTATACCTGGTTATTTAAAACTTAGCTTTATTCAGAAACGTTCTGATTTATAAACTATAATTTCAATCCCTCATAACACAGATTTCAAAGGTAAATTTAGGTTTATGTATATATGATATATATGATGCTTTTAGATTCAATTTAACATATAACAGATTATAAATTTCTCGTACCAAAAAAAATTAAACGAAACAGTCATCTACACAATCAATTAGACACTAGCCCGTTTAATTCTATGATTAGAATTATCGATCATTCGAGAGTCAATGATATTTGATGGAACAATCGGGAGTCAAGTCCCAAGCCTGTTCCTCCACCCTTCTTTCTTGCCTGCCAAGCCTGGACTGCGCTCGCCTCTCGCTCTAAGCCCTCACTTTTCACCCTCTGCTGCCCTCGTCTTCACCTCATAAATGAGCTCATGAGTAATTGCCTCTAAAATTTTCCACGAAGATATTATGCTTACTGACAATATCTCAGCATCTGCTTGAGAAGATCTCGTCAAATTCTGTAGTGTGAACATTGAAATATTTAATTTGTTGGGTCTTTAAAGTAAATTTAGTTCGCTCGAAAATAACTTGTACAAAACCACAATGTGATTAGCTGAATTAATTGGTTCAACACGAGTGAAAAAAATTCCTTGCTGGAAGAAATCGCAGATTATCTGTGAATTTATAAAGGAAAGAAACGCAACGAGTCGGGTCTCAACAAACAAAAAAATTAATGTTATTTGATTTGAGCTTGGCAGTAAATTTAATTCAAATCATAGCTGATTAATTGCTCAGGCTAAAGGGACAAAGAAATTTTTATGTTAAAAAATTGCACGCAGAACATTTACATTTCAATTGCGCAGAAAGATTATTAAAACTGAAACAGCCTATGAGTGGAATATGTCTTAGGATATATTCCCCGTAAATGCTTAATTGAACAGGAATTTGAAGACAAAATGCATTGTGCATTGTATGTAACGCACACCATATCTATGCATTGTGTGTACACAGTGAAATGATTACTAGCACTGGTAAGCAATACGTACCTGGTGCGGTCCCTGTTAAAATTTATCATTAATCAACTTCATTATTGTACATTCGCTTTTCGATCGTCTCATTTTACGAGGTAAGATCGTTGATCCTTGGCTTAACCGGAGATTATTAATTATTCATTGTCACAACATGGATGTGCATATCCAATCCTTGAACCATCTTGCGACTTACGATAAATGTTGCTTTTCTGCAACTTATTCTGAATTTACGCCAATGTCTGTTCCTTTTGTTCAGCTCAATAAAATTGCATGTCCAAGCCCTTTGGGCCCACCCATTTGAATTTAATTTACTGGCATCAAGTCAGGTATTGAAACCATTAGGTTTTTGACTCCATGGAGTATTCGTGTTTTAGCGATTAAAATTATGTCGGCATTAACGTGCAAGCTTGCATGTTATTAACTGTAGAACCATGTGGACACACCTCTAACTGTCTTCCTTTATATATTTTAGTTCTCTTTGAGAACTCTCATCTATGGGTCAGCATAGGAAACAAATAATAGGTTTATACTTTAGTTTATTGAATTATTATACTGTCCAATACATCGGACTATAACTGGAACATATTGTTAGATAGATTTCTTATTCTGCTTCTCTGCAATTACCAGATAAGAATCCACCCTACCTTCTTAACTCCCCATCTTGGTTTTCAAACCCAGCGGCTTGCTATGCTTCATTATTATATAAACCTGCTGCTTGTTTTTTATGCTTTAAATACTACTAATATTATTGCAGTGACAACGTCCTCACGGTGAGATTTGAGAGGGAGAAACGTGTGATTATATATCAGTGACTCATTCCTTGTACATTCAAATAGGTACTGTTATTTTCAACCTTAATTTTTGTACTTCTACTGATATCCGCTAATTTTCCCTGCAGGGCGAACCAATACTATGTTTATTGTATTTTACCTGGCAGCTGTTCATCCACTGCGTCTTGGCGTTTAATAAAGGCTTCATCGGTTTTCTCGACTTCTTTCCGTTCAACTTATACCGAAATTCAATATCCGGTTGTGAAAGGGATGCAGCGCCGTAGATGAACTGCATCATAGTTTTCATGGAACACTATTTAAGTTTTCACATTCATGGAACACTATTTAAGTTTTCACATTCATGGAACACCATATAAGTCTTATCATCGAGTCGACGGTTATGTCTGTCCATGAACAGATCCCTCATCTGAATAGATCCCTTTTCCATAATTCGAGATCCCTTTTACAATTATACAGATCCCTATTCCATAATTCAAGTGCAAAAATTCGCTGGCGTTGGCTCCAGCTGAGTACAATAACGTAAAATTTTCAACAACGATTTGACTGAGCCTGTCATAAGCCCCCAAGGTGGGATTTAACCATAGATTGTTTTGGCCTCTAGTGTTGTGGCCCCTTTGGCTTGGTTGGCAGTCGGGCGTGATTGGCGAAAGAGTAGTCGCTGTTATTGTGATCCACTCCAGCAGTTGAATCTCCAGTAAAAGTTTTTACCCTGACGTTCTTCTATCTGATGTACATCCAATATAATTTTGACTTCAAGAAATTTCTGATAATGAGACTCTGCGCTGCAGCACTTATTTCAATTTTTCAAGAAGAACTGGTTTGGGACTGCAAAACATCGCCATTCTTTTAAGCTCCACGCACTCATAAACAACTGTACTTGCTTCAACATTTCACTGAAATTTTATTCCAATATAATGACTTATAAGCCTACATGAGCTGACTGGCCAACAAATAAATTTTGCGCACTCTGAATCATGTTCAACACCGAGTAATGTTTGACCAGCATTTATTGCCATTTATGCTACGAAGCTCTTTCGCCGGCCTGCGTTGCAGTAGTAGGCATGCACGAGTGCGCGATGCAGAGGTTCTCAGTAGCCAAGGTGAGCTTGTATACAGGATACTCCCCGGACCCCACCCTGCCTTGCGGCGTAGCCCTGGCAATCGTAGGGCCTGTTCCCTCCCTCCTAATTTTGAAATTGCAATGGCATACAAGACGATAGTCAATTTTTTCAAAGAAGAAATTAATCAAACTGCGCTGATATGTTTGCTCTTAAACTCGTATGGATATAAACAGGTTTCTGTCGATGTCTACGTGCGAGAGGTTATCAACACTGCCTGTGTAAGGGTATAATTTCTCAAAAATAGCGACGCGAATAGGTACGAACTAGAAGTTCTAAGTACTTCAAATCAAGTGCAAATATATTCATTCGTCAGCATGGTCTTATTTGTTACCGTGGTTTATCCAGAGACCCCGAAGTTGAGGAATCAAGTCAACTGATCTTACTCGCACGTTGGTAGCCTTGGGGTCCCCCCCCTCTTCTCCTAGCCCCGGGCTGGAGCTACTCTTTGACTTATTTTTATTTACGTGACCAATTTTCATACATGAAGTCACATTCTCCTTCCAAGTTCATTCTCGTAGGTGTTCAAGTTTGCGTATTTTAATTTTTCCTCGCAGACAAACAAATTTCATAAGTCCGATTCTTAGTCTGTAGTGCTCGAACTAATTCAGTTGTGTTGTATATTTAAGTATTTTTCGATCTGAACTCATGGCACGACACTTTCTTCACTTTAATTTTAGACAGCTCAACTTCAACAGCTTGATATTAAATACATTAATTTTGTGGTAAGCTCCGGTCCGCGTTTCCTAAAGATTTCAAAATTGCTCTCGGTATATCCGCTATTTTGTCTATTCACGACAAATTTTAATCATGTCTCAACGTCACACGCTGAAGGATTATGTACCAGAGTCAGATAATGCAACGTCGGAAGTCATTCAACCATTCAATGTTCATTTTCTAGATATAATCTCCAGGAACATAAATGAATATTGATCTTACATTTACAGTCAAAGGTATAGAGAATGTTTTACAGCTTGTGCAGCATCCCCGGCCTCGCTTTGCAAAGGGCGCGCCCGGTGTCGTCCTCAAGGCCGGACTCGGGATCGGCGGTCCGCATGTATAAAAGGCGACGCCCGCCCTGCTTCGTCTCATTGCCACAACCCAAGGCGCTTGCTTCGTCACGCTTGATTACTTGTGCTTTCAATAACATCATGAAACTTGTAAGTGCTGCACTGAATAGAGTGATGGAGCTCCATTGTTTGTTATTTGCTGCATGCGGGAATAAATTACAGTACAATTAGGTGAAGAAACCTTAATTATTATTATTAGGCCTCTGATGGAGGGTGTATTTTTTTACTCTTCTATGAAAATTGTGCACCACCAAGTACGAAATTTCTTTAAGCAACAGAATAACATCTTACTGAAAGGCTTCATGTTATAAAAATAATTCGGTTACAGTATATGATGGTTGTCCTTTGGGTATGAGTGCATGAATGAAAACAGTGACACTGAAGGATCGAAAATGCCCGAAACATGCTTCAAATTGCAATCAATTGTAAATGAAACTGCGGCATGCTTATAGCAGCTTATCGTTTCTTATTATCCATTACCTACACCAAAGAACTGTTTTCAGTATTCTAAAACTACTTACTATCTCGTATATAAAAGGACCAGTCGATAAGCTGCATAATACTCGAGAATATTATTACGAGATCATTAATATCACTTTAGATGGAGGCAACGTTCTTCTGTAAACATTATACGACTAAGAATAAAACTTTTAGCTCAATCCAACACGGAATCAAAGTGCCTCTGTTACTTTTAGCAACGAGTGAGGTTCAAAAATTTTGCGAACAGTGGATATAAGTGAAGGGGCAAATTTTATTCGAAAATTGTCCTTACATGATGATTTTAGTGCATTTTGTTATCAAATAACCGTTTAATAGTTTAATTTTTGCAATACGTCAGCATATCCTATTGAATAAAGGTGAATATATAAGAAGTTGTGATTAGGACTAAAGCATTTTCACCTTTTATCATACGCACAACATTTATTCTTGCTTTGACGAAAATTAACAAATTCAATACTCTATAATTAAGAGTTTCCTAGTGGGCTCGAAAACTTACGTTTAGACAAATTAGCGATGTTGCTCGCAACAACATTCTGCTGGAGTAATTACGTGGTTACGATGTTCACGATATAATGAGGAGATAGCTGCTGACGTTAGAAATTGCCTGTTTCCCTGCGTGGTGCATCTCTGATCGCTCACTTACTTCATTGTCGCTGAGCAGTTCAAATTTTTCTTCCATGCAATGTTTAGCAAAACCAACAAGAGACTGATTGACACAAGTTCTGACCCAAGGGTTGAATGTATGTTCAACCCACAATTATGCTCTCAATCGAATGGGTTCCAACATAAAATTTTTACTCGAATTTTCAGTGTTTTAGTTTTAGCTGGAGTTATAATTTTACAGATGCAGACAACAGAATATAAACGACAGGTTCATCGTTATGTAGAGCAGAAATAGTACAGACGAAACACTTTCGCAGTAGTTGTGCAAAATCTTGCTCTGAGGTAATTTTGTATTAATATCAACTGACATTCCTGAAAAACTTCAGTAGGCTATCTGATTTCTGTGTGTAATTTACCGAAACAACTTAGGCAAGAAATATCTCTGAAGACAGCGTTGGCCAGATGATGGTTGACAACCATTGTCGTACGGCGCTCTTTAAAGTTTAGGTCATTGGGAAGTATTAAACTACTCATATTTTACTGCCTTTACCCTCTAGAGAACGTTAAAATAAATCCCACTGGCTTGTATACCAAGTCAGCTGATATATTTCCGCTCTCTCAAATGAACAAGCTATGCTGTATCAATATTTGATAGTAATTAGATTTGAAATTGCGCACAAATAAAATTAACTAATCCAGTTGGTGTATGGCTACTTTGTATAGGCAACAACTTAAATTCTGCTGCCAGGTGGATATCGCGAACTGCACTCTCAAATTATGAGCATAGGAGTAACTGCCGTTACAGCTCTAGTTGTACAGCTGCATCGGACGGTAGACGAGTAGCTGGCGTTCTTTGCATATCACCAGCAACGACCGTGCTGCCACAAACGTAGCGCTGAAAGCGGGCTAAAAATCTTGTACCTCTCTTACAATTTATTGATCTGATTGGAATAATATTCATTGCTATTGCATCTTGACGAAAGGTACTGTGAGATTTGTTGTTAACTATTATTTGCAGATCATTGAGGGTGAACAGCTTTTACCCCCAAGGCTTGGTAATTAAGGTAGTGACGGCAATCGGTAGAAACCATTTTAGTCTAAAATTGGCATTTAGTCTTTATTCTTGAGCAGTTTGGAGTTGTGCTGGTGACACGTAGAAACCATTTCTAAAATTGTCTAAAATTGGCATTATGAAATTAGGATGGAATTCATTTCAAATTTGCCCATTGTGTGAGAACAGTCATATTTGAGTTTGAAGTGTAATGCTTTCATTCATCTTGATTAAAAATAATAGTATTAATTCTCTTCTTTCTCGAGCAGTTTGGAGTTTTGTTGGTGGCACTATGCCTGTGTGCCGCGGAGGCGTTCACCGTCTACACTGTGCCGCAGTCGCACGTCAGTCAGCGCGTGCTGGCCGAGCCTGGAATAAGTCAGTTCCCCAGCAAAGCGGTGGCGTACAGCGCTGCTTTAGCGGTCCCTGTCCCGGCCCCGCAAGTCGTGTACTCTGATCTGCCGACCGAGCGAAGGCATACCGGTACTAAGGTCACTGTTCACTATGAACCTATCGAACAACATGGTTACATTGTTCGGTTCTAGTAGGGAGTCTGATGTGTGTAATAAGAATAATTTGTTTCTTTAAGCCGGAAATGAATAGCAGTCAAATTTGAGTTGGATGAAGATAAATAAATGAACTGTGGTTTTTGGTCACTATATTCATTGAAAATTATGTATTTTTGCTTATCTCAATCTTATGTGGATGTATATTCAGAGGTTGAGATTAAACCGTCAGCTCAAATTCGCAACATTCCATTCCATCTCAACGTAATAATTTTTGCGATGATTTTTTTATTATTTTTATAGTCTAATATTAAGAAAATCTTATGCGCTCCATTCAGAATTATTATAACTTTAAATTTCGCTCAAAGTTGATTATGTGACTATTCAGTCGAAAATTGATGAGAGGTGTCGTATCATAGTTATTTTAAGTAAAATTTTCACTCACCAATGTTTATTGACATTGTTTTCACTCACCAATGTAATTGGACCCTCCAATTTTTCTATGATTCAGTTAAATATTGTGTGGCATAGTTGTTCGTTTGAAGTGAGCAAAATTTCCCAATAGAATAACATTCTCTGGCATTACAGTATATGTACATACTTCCAAGGCCCGAAGAAACTTGCAAATCGTAACTTTAAGATTATCATGACGCAGTGTTTGTCTATTCTATTCATCGGTTGCATTTTGTCCGGGTGTGACTTCGTGAGATGCATTGAGACGATCAAATAAAATATTTATGCACGTATTATGTGTGCATATTTTTGGCCATGCTTAGCAACATCGGATGCCAAGCTACGAGTGGGACATTAAACACATTAGTTCTATGTTAAGAACGAATGATTTCATGTTGATAGAAGTCTACATAAAAATTTAACGCAATAAATATAACCTACTGATTACCTTCACTCATAGATCAAATTTTCTGCTACTAAATTGAAACGAATATCTATGTTTTTCTTGATGGAAAAATGGAAATGCTGAAACCGGTCTACTTGATTCGTAAGTTTAACCAAAACGATATCAGATTAAAATTTAGTGTCACAGGTTCATACTTCATGTTTCTTGTAGGAATTTATGTGAACAATTATGTTCGCACGACGCGAAATTGGAAGTAGGATAATATGAACAATCTCAGTATTCATTGGACATTAATCAAGTTAAATTACTTAGACATCTCCTACCTACGTTTTTCCGAGGGAAATAAGAAAAGTAAAATGGCAGAATACACGGTTCAAACCATGTTTTCCATAGTATCAGCTGCCTTACTCCATTGCGCTTGGCTTTCAAAAGGTAACCACCTCAGCGTCAAGTTCTCAACTGTTCTGAGTATAGAGCATTGTTCGCATGAATAATGTATACATCAGTGAATACGAAATTAATTAAAATTTTTAGTCAAAATTTTGAGGCCGATATGACATCGTAGGTAATTTTGCCTTTTTTGCACTACTTCTATATTAATGAAGCAATAATAGCGGGAGAAACTTTAAAAGATGCTCCAAATTTTGAAGGCCTCTTGGATTAAAAAGCTGGAATGAAATTTATGATTCCATTAACTGCGCTATTTTTACATCTGAGTATATTGCCCACTGGGCTTAGATATTCAGGTACTTTATTAATCGAACGTAACAAATTTCGTAGCACTGTTACGTGGATGGTCGAATTACGCATGTAAGGGAGCTGCACTAGTAAAGAATTGTATTCCTTTTATTACAACTAAATTCTGACTTCATCCTCATATGCGGTTCATTAAATTTATAAATCACTCAAGGGTTTCTCTTCGTAACTATGTGTTGAGATTTGTCCAATATGCTTACTCATTATATGCAAAGAAACTATAGGCACGGTTTTATGCATTTTGAAACATTGTTAATTGTGGAGGACACACGTATGTCACGTCTGAGCCGTGCGGAGTCGCGCATCTGTTGCAGGACATTCAACTAGCAAGCACAAGTTTCAACTAGCAAGTTCAACTAGCAAGTTTGTCGTCTGTCTCTGCTACTGATCATAAAATAAAATTAGTCTCCATCTGATGTCGTTCGTTTGATCATTCGCGTCCGGACAAGACGGCTTACCATAAGTCGGCATCATTAATTTCCTGGCTCAATACATTACAGCCAGTCTCTCGTCTGTCTCTGCTACTGATCATAAAATAAAATTAGTCTCCATCTGATGTCGTTCGTTTGATCATTCGCGTGCGGACAAGACGGCTTACCATAAGTCGGCATCATTAATTTCCTGGCTCAATACATTACAGCCAGTCTCTCGCTCTGGGGCAGAATTTAAGCGTTAGAATGAGAAAAAAGGCTATCTTTGGAACTGCCAACATAGATGCAATATGACCTTTCACAAATACGCAGAAAACGTAAATAACCTCACGATCATTTTTGCACACTGGCGTTCTAGGCCAATTTACGTGTGCCGATATCTTGGCTGTTCGTGTTTGGGATCGAGTGCTGAGCTGAGGTTGGGTCGGGTGGAGCCTGGGATGTGCCAGGACATGATTTGAGAGAGACTCGAGATCTCCCAGGGAATTTTCGTCGCTTATACTCATATTCTGGAATTCTGTCTCTTATGTAATTCACGAGAACTAGTTATTATACGTGCGCTTTGCAAAGGTTAACGGAACGAGTTTTGTTTTGCACTAATTTTGCCGGCAAACTAGTCAATCTAACTTGCATAGTTCATAATCATGTTTTTTATTTAGCCTTCCATGGTTTTAGGCTGTAAAAAAGCCGAAGCGCCGGGCCTCTTCCGCGAAAGTGACCCGTGGTATGACGCGTCGTTTTCGTTCGCGGAATCAAGGGACTTTTCCCCGTGAACTTCATACGTTTAATCATCTGCTGAGGTATACATTCAGTTTCATTCAGTAATCATCTGCTAATTCAGTAATTCAGTAATCATCTGCTAGTTCAGTAATTCAGTAATCATCTGCTGAGGTATACTTCAGTCATAACAAGAAGATTTCTAACGGGAAGTTTTGCTCCCTAATCCTAAAGAGAAACATCTCCCTCAAATTCTAATGCCCAAATAGAGATTTAAATATTTCTTTTATATTCCCGAATATTCCAAAATTTATGAATGTGTTTTAAAAATTCTTCAATTGCTCCTCAAGATTTCAAAATTTATCTCTTTTCCAAAAGTCAGAAATCACACTTGAGTGTAGACCAAGGTGGATTCTACTTAGCCCATATTTTGCAAATGAACAAAATGAATTAACAACGATATCAAAAGAATATCGGGAATACAAATAGTTATTTTTTTTGTAAATAAGATTACATGAATCATCAAAAAATTGTGTTCAACGAGCTTTGGGATTTAATGAAAATAATTATGACGTTCGCAAGCAATGATAGTGCGAGTTATAAATTCGAGTCACTACAAGCCTTCCCAGAAACTGCCACAAATTTCCTATTTGGCCTGGTTGGCCTTCAGTTTCGTACTCCAGTTTTCATTCCTTGAGTCATGTCTACCTCCGGCCTGAGAAACTGCTGTAAACAGTTCAATATTGAATTGCAAATTCATACAAGCTTACAACAGTTTTAACTGTAAAATCAAACATACCACTCTGCTCAAATTATAACATGTCATAATGTTAAGCCAGGATAAATTAAAGTGCTTTATATTGTAAGATCTTCCTTGGTTTGATCGGCTAAATGGATTTCATTTCATACGTTCTATCTTTGTTGTCTTAACGAGAAATTTTGAGGAGCTACATGTGAGCCGAATATATTAAATGCATAAAAATAAAATAAAAGGGTCCTCCTGTAAAAAAGTAGTGCAATTACATTCCTTGATAAAGAGTTTTTCATTTGTGATACAGAGATTAAAATGCATTTCTTTATTTATAACACGAATCACAATCAGTGCAGCACATGTGATACAGAGGCTGAGAAACAATGCCCGTGCATTTTTTAGCTCATTTTTTCACTTAGGGAAAAAAGGCGCTATTGTGCTCGTCATGTCCGTTCATCCGTCCGTGACTTCACGGACGATGCGCTCTCTGTCACTCACTGCAATGAGTACTGATCTAATTTTTTCTCTAGAAGCGGAAAATCAGTTCTCATTGAAAAAATCCCAGCATCAAAATTTCAATTAATAAATTATTCGTCTTTTCCTGCTTTGCATCCAGAAGTTCCGTTGTCAGGATTTTTTCAATGGAAAGTTATTTAGACTTCGTGCTTTCCTACTGAGTGAATCAGTTACTAGATTTATTTTATTTTTCTTCGAGTAATAAGTATCTTTTAATATTTTCCTGATCCCATTCCATTAATTTCTTTCAGGAACTAATTTACGCCTCATGTTTCAAGTACAGGAAGTTAAGACTAAAATTTTTCTGATTGGAAACAACGGGATTAGGTCCGTGTTTCCCTTGGCCATGTGATTTCTGATCTTGCCAGTTCCTGGACATTCCCCGTACTTCTGGCAGAGGCTGAAAAGTCGCTACCTTTAAATAATGCACACAGCCGCGTTGAGGTTGCCTAGCTCACTGGTGCTCAAGACGCTGCCGTGTAAACAGTGCGAAGCTCCGTAAATCCTTCGTTTTTTTCTGTGACGACAGATACGTTGTATAATATTTGTGGACTTTACCTGAATATTTTTTTACAGCGAAAGAAATTAGTTTGAAGATGACGCGACTTTGTTTATCGGTGAGTTGGAGATTCCTGTGCATTCAAATCCAGTTTCAAGTTATTGAGGAATAATAGATCTAGGACGTCTCTAAATTACATATTTATTATCTGCAGCTAACAACGCATGATCGATGCACCCTAAAAATAGTGTGTTATAGATATGATTACTAGGGAAATTCATAAAACTTCTTAAGGATGTATACCAAATTTTTATTCCTTGAAAATTCCATGACTATAATAAAAAATTCATTTCCTAGATAATTCCACAAAAACGATAACTCAATCTATGTGCATGGAGAAATTCGTCGAAATTCAAAGGTATAATGATTGTTCAATGCTCAGTTCAAAAGAGATTTATAAGATAATACGTTGCCGAGAAATTTCGCGGTATTTTTAATGAAAACTTTTCGGAGACCAGCTTCATTATCAGCTAAAAAAATTTATTTGCACAAATTCATTCGTGCCTATTCATGCCTATAAATTAAACAATACGTGGAAAGTAATTAAGGTAAAATTTTTATTCATTAACAATCTGCAGAGGGTTTAGCTATAACTTTGTTTATCTCTTGTTGGAACAAAGTTGGTAACTCTAATCCAGATGAAATTATTGCAGTGTTATTTTTCCGTTCGTTGATTCATTTTTAAATTTCCAATTAATGTTTTTATCTCAACACTCTTCAATGTAATTGCAGTGGTCATTTTGAATATAATTGCATAATTCAAAATTTTAAACTGATGAATTAGCTGGTCTCTGAAACTTTTTCATTGAAAATATGGCGAATTTTTTTCGTTACTTATTAGAGGTTGAATTTACAATAGTCACGTTATTTGATCATTATCAATCCAATTTTACTGCGAACTTTAAAAGTATTCCAATTACACAAAACAAATTTGCAAAGAATGTAAAAATTAATTAAAACCGCAGTCTGCGATTTTTTAGGCTATCATAAACCTCTAATGCGATTTAATCGTACAGAGACTCATGACCTTTAATCACCTTGACCTACAATAATTTAAGTCACGTTAAGTGCAATAAAGTCGTGCAATCAGAAAGCGTTACGTTCATTACGCTTTAGATACTGTCGCTATACAGCGTTGAGGAAAGCGGAAAAGGTCTAGTATTCTTCATTTACTTTTATGCGAGGAGTGAAATAATTCTACTTTACTTCCCCTTTTTTTAATATTTTTAGTGCTTTTTTTTCTTTTGAGGCGGAAAATGTCTAAATATTTTCAGCTTTTCATAATTTTGTTTGGCTCCATCTCTTTACAACTCTAAAGAAAACAATGGAAAATATTTTCTGCTGCTGGCCCTACGTTCTCCGTAATGACATTGCAATTCAGATAGGTTGAATAGGGAGACAATTGTACATTTTTGCTTAAAATGCGCGTTATATCGAATTGAAAAATGCTATCACACGCTCTAGATGAAGCCTTTGGCGCTTGTACATAAAGCAAACAACACAAATGATTGAAATCCAAGCACAAAACCAGGGATTAATTTTCTGTTTGAATCTCACAACAAATCTCATTCTCGTTGGATTTGTTTAAGTTTCTTTCGATCCAACATTTGACATAGCGCAGGAGTCGCAAGGAAGTGATAAGTGCGGTCGAGTGTGGTGCTATTGTAGCGGAGCGCGCCGCTTGTTTCCTGGAGTGCAACGAGCGCTTCTATCTTCATCATTTGCTCCTCATCTAAACGTATTTAGTTCATAGTTCACTTGTTAATAGGTTATCCCTGCGTTGAGTTCCTGCTCTACAACGGAAACAATTTTTAGAATGTCTTCTTCATTACTATCATGCGTCGCAGCACGCTTTGTGACTTAAGTTGGACGCAAATAATTTTGCCCAGACGTTGGCATTTTTCTCACAATAATCTTGGCAACATGGCTATTTTTCCGTACTGCCGATAAAAGCCAGCCTTATAGGTGTCGGTCACAATGCAACTCCCCTTCTAAAAGCCCTGTATTAACCGGCAGTTTCTTTCTGACCGCAAGGGCCACGCCTGCCTTTGTATCTTAACTGGGATCCCGCACTCGTATGAGCGGCGCGAACATAACGGCGTCTGTTTAGACTCGATCGCTCGGTACACGAAACTGGAGCCTGGCTGCTCGTGGGCGTCCTTGAATAGCGCACTACGTAGCATTCTTGTTCCTGCATACTATGAGCGGTGCGTTAATTTCGTGTTAATGCCCTTTGCAACCCGTGTTAGCGTGGTTATTGTTATTAGATGAATAATTCTATCTAGTGCTCGAAAAGTGTGATGCGTTCTGTAAAAAACAAACACTTTTATAAACGATAGCTAAGGGGCTGACTTTTAATCGCTTCTTATGAGCTTATACAAGAGTAAATTTTATGCTTGTAAATGAGCTCGGTTGAAAATAAATGAAGTAATTTCTTCTGTTGTCATTAGCTTTTATTATTTTTTTGTTGCAATTCCTCCTGCTTTATTTATAATAAAATGTAGTCTATTCATATCACATCAAACCCATAAGAAACAAGTACGTTGTTCGATTTTTCATTGGCTGGACAGTGGACAGATTCCTGAGAGAACGCTCCAGAACCTCGACAATGGAAAAAGGATCATTTTGCCCTGAGATCAATTCATTTCCTGTTCCTGTCACTTCTGGGAAAATTACTCACAGTGTGACTCATTCTTGGAACGTGACCGCGAACTGCGATCGTGCGGGACGATTTACAAGTGAGCTCGAATTAAAAATTAACTCTGAATAACTCAAGTTAATATGTAAAGGCAGTAGTTGAACAGATTTCAATAATTTTAAAGAACTTATTCAATCATCGCTATTAGATTTTATTTATAATGAAGTATCATCAGCTTGGGTGATTCCGATCAGAAATAGTTTGCCTGTGACCTGCTTTGGGGTGACTTCACTAATAATATATGCATCAAATCAAAGTATCAACTTCAATAGCCAAATTAATATCGATAGGCCCAACTCTTCCAAGTTGAAAATAATCGTGAAATTTAACCGAGTTTTCTACTACATAATATACATTCATGGAAATATGCTTTATTTATACACCATAAATTATCTTTTTATGCTCCAGTGTGCTAGTTTATGAGCGACAAATGTAAATTGAGCACGATTCATCACTTGAAAACGTGTTTTTTGAATGGGAACTCAATATACGCATTGTGAACCAGTTGACCTTACATTTAATTCTCATGCTTATTATTCAGCTAATTGTGTTCCAAATAAGATAATTAGCTTAAATAAAATGTCCTGGAGGCTATAGAAAGTGATTGCTGTCAGTCAGAAGCTGAGTCTTTTAGTCGTTCACTCTTCCGTCTCGAAACTCCTATTGTTTCTGGTGAAGCTTTCCATTTCGACTCAATCGAACGAATCGTTCACTTTATTCTTCCTGTGTTCTTCTTATCATTAATGCCGTTCTGTCGGCCGTGTTAGTGACGACTTTCTGTGGACCGATCCAAGAAATATTTGTGTCATTTTGATCCGATAATTTATGAGTAAAATGTTTAAATTTCATTTTTATTTAAATGTTTATTTCAAACATATTAGTTTTATTCACTAGCTATATAAATTCTGCGCATTTCTTCGTAATAAACCGAGTCCCAAGAGAATAAGTGTGTTATATAAAATAATAATTTTAGGCACTAAAAATTCGTTGAATCATTGAAACTTGATTAATAGTTCAATGTACCAGTTTCCGTAATGTATGTATGATATTATTATGTATGTATGATTATTATTATGTATGCATGATTATTTATATGTATGTATGAAAATTACGATAAAAACACTCTCGATTGAGCCTTCATTGGTCCTTGAGTGATGGCCAACTAGTGGCTTTTCGAGTAAAAAAACGAGATCAGGATTGATCACAATTAACCTTCGGAGCTTCAAGGAAAGATTGCTAAAATTGTGGTCACAAAGTTCAAGGCTAACTTGTCTTCTGAATAATTAACGTTATTTTATTATATTTGTAGATAATTGTGTGTTGAAATGGTCGAAATGTAGTCACATTGATTCAATGCAACTAATCCAATCTGCAAAAATTATTGATGAAATGTCAGAGAACAATTCAGTTCTCCTTCACTACCCTGTTGCAAACGATTACTTTACAAGTTGAGTCTACTGAAAATAAACGATTATCATCTGACAAAGGTATTATATTTGTGGAATTTGTATGTAATCTCATCGCGGATCGCCGTGTGAAAATAGTCTATTGATTGATGTAGTATTAAATTTTATAAACAAATGGCAACGTTTCAGTTTCAAATGCATTGGCTTGGTCATGCATTGCCTCGCAGACTACACGGAAATAGTCTTGGGAAACTGAGCTGAATGACGAACTAACTATTAATGTCGTTATAGTATGCGTTTTAAAGTTTCAAATAACGAATAATTCTATCATTAATCTACAGGAAATTCACTGACATTCATCATCGAATTGCAACAAGCATCACTAGATGAGCATTCAAATTATTTTCTGAGTTGCTATACAAGACGAAACCAAGCAAATTCTTTTCTTGGCTGCTTTACATGCTGAAGAAGTTCTGATTTGCAACATAGTCATTGCACAGTATTTTAAGCATTGAAAATGATTCGTTGATCAGAAATTATTGATTACCTCATCGGTTCTGAGAATATCCTTTGTTCAGGTTAGAATATAATGCGTAGTCTGAAATTAATCAACAACAAGTGAGTATATGTTTCACACAATGCTATAAAGGATTATCACCGTGAAACAAACTATGGGTTTAATTTTTTAGGTTTCATAGTAGGTCATACAGGGTAAAGTGAAACACGATCTTAAAAACATTTTTACCATTCGAAAATTTGCAAAGCCCGCCGCTGCTTACTTATTTGCATTTATTTTTATAATTGTTAAACTTCTAGATAAAATTTGTTTAGCCATATAGCTCAACATATTGCATGTTTAACCGATTTGTTAAGGAATTGCTGCAGATGTTTCACTCATCATTCCTCGTCAGGATAAGCAATTCATACTTCAGACGAATGCCAGCAATCAAGACA